TTCTTCAGGCCATAATGTTACCTTTTAGAGGAGAAGTAGAATGGACAAAAACTGATGAAAATCCCTGGGCTCACATACATTAAGGTCGAGTGGCAGAGTGGAATTGCATGTGACCCCAGCCTGTTTTACCTTTGCACAGGCCACTGTGGTACACAGCCTAGGTAACCTGTTCACAATTTCTTAGTGCTTGACTTTCTTGGAAAATTTCGTACATGTGAAATGCAAACAACATCTGAAAATCATATCCAGCTGAATAAACTATTTTAATCTCTTGTGAACTTGACATGCTATCTACCTATAAAGAGTTCTGTTGTGGGGCGCCTGGGTGACTTAGTCAGTTAAGCTTCCGACTTTCGCTTAGGTCATGATCTCACGGTTCGTGGGTTCGAGCCCCGCATCAGGCTCTGTGCTGACTGCCAGCTCAGAGCCTGGAGCCTGTTTCGGAGTCTGTGACTCCTTCTCTCTCTCTCCTAGAAATAAATTAAAAAAAAAAAAAAAAAGACTTCTGTTGTGACTAAAATTCTTCATTCTTACATTTTTTCTTTCTTTTAACAATCACATGTTCAGTTCTCACCAAGTTCAAAGCCTCTCTGCCAGATTGTGGGAAAAATAAAATGACTTTTTTAAAGTTTATTTATTTTAAGAGAGAGAGAGGACACAAGCAGGAGAGGGACAGAGGGAGAGAGGGAGAGAATCCCAAGCAGGCTCTGCTCTGTTATTACAGAGCCTTGCTTGGGGTTTGATCTCAAGGACCATGAGATCATGACCTGAGCTGACATCAAGACTCAGATGCTTAACTGACTGAGCCACTCAGGCGCCCCAAGAATAAAATGATTTTAAATATAGCTTATCTTCTAAAGGATTTCTGTCAAATCTCATTAACTTGACTCTTTTTAGTTAGTATTATATTTTCAACACAGTATTTGCAAAAGATGTAAAAATGCCTTGACGTTAATCTTCTAATGTAAGAGAAGGAAACTATATGAGTATTGTAACCGTCACTGCTTAAGATCTAAAATACAAAAATAAATACTACAAAGTGTCTGTAATCTATGCTTTGAAATATTTTTTAAGCAAAGAGAAATCTTAACAAGTCCACAGAGAAGGCTTAGAGGTGAACTGTACAGAAGTTGGTGCTCCCTGCCTGAGGCTACAGGTCAGTTGGAGCCCTGACCCTGTAGCCATGAACTCCCTGGCAGCTTGCCCTGCCTCCCCATGACACAGTCTTCTCATCCCTAAAAAGGGGCTGTTGAGAGACCTTCACCTTACCCTACAGGCTGTTGCTCTGGTTGCGGTTGTTGTGCAATTAAAGAATTCGTAGATGTAAAGTACTTAGAAGGGTGGTTGGTGCAATGTCAGTGCTATCATTATTATAATAGAAAAAAAAAAAACATGTCTTCTGCTTGATACCAAACTATTCAGAGGTAGAATTCAATTATCAGATGCTTCTACATATCTGTGTTGATGCTCCCAGATTCTGTGAGCTAAGATTCCTGGCTGTTTGGCCAAATGTTTCACTTTTGATCCGATGTTTAGCATCAGAGCTGAAGCTCATATAGTTTTTAGCGCAGGCTACTTCTGAAAGCAAGGTTAATTGGCATGCTAAATATGGATGTCCTAGAGGGGTATCATAAAGGCTTAGGCTGTCTCTGAATTATTTTGTAAATGGATGGGATGTTTGTATTATAAAAAGTTCATGGAGTTATAGAATTTGGGGAATGACAAGGACCATAGGGTTCACATGGCATAACCCTTAATGTGACAGATGTGATCAATAAGGAAAATAAAGCAACTTGTCAAGTTAGAATCATTTGACTACTTAATGATATTTAACTATGAGCGCAGCCCAGGCACTCGACACCCACTGTCATTTGACACAATGTTGCTGACACTATTCCCTGCCCCCCTCCAAATTCTGTGCCCAGACACCATATAGCATAGAAACAGATTAAGAGCATGGATTTGGAGACTGGAAACCTAAGGAAAAGCGTCTTAAATATCTCTCGGTTTCAGTTGCCTCATCAGCAAAAAGGAGACGTGAGTGGAAATACTATAGGTATTGGTTTATATAATACCTACCAGGAACTTAACACAGTGGGTGACACAGTGTGAACACTTGGTAAATATTATTATTACTATCATCATATGTATCACTATCATCATGAAAAATTCATATGCACAATGTTTGTACCAAAAATTCTTTTTCTTATTTGCCAAACCCTAAGGAATAGTTCTTGGGTCAATGATTTCACAGGTGTGTGTGTGTGTGTGTGTGTGAGAGAGAGAGAGAGAGAGAGAGAAAGAGAGAGAGAGAGAGAGAGATGAGGCAGGGGAAGTATATGTGCATGTTTCCATTATTTGACAAAGCCAAGTCCTGGAATCCTATGTTTTCACATGGCCCTCACCTCACTTGTAGTCTGCTGTGATATGGCCTATTATCAACTCTAATCTGCAAATCCTGGCCCTTGGAATCCCCTGGTTGATGAGATTTGATTACAGAAGGAACATTCCCAAGGAAGTAAGTGAACCAAACTTCAGATGTTTATGGTAGCAAGGAAGGGCCCCAAGCGGAAGCCTGCAGAGGGAAATCTGGTCACTACGTAATTTCACCACCCCCCAAAAAAAAGTTTGAAAATTTGACCTTTAGGCTAAAAGGTTGGCATCAACATGTACAAACTGTTTTATAATCTGAAATCTATGCTCTAAGGTTATTCAATTGAATGTATTTCAGAAAAATAAAGCCGATGGAATATTCTATTAGTTCAGAAAGTCTATGTGAAATATATTTAATTTACCTGTGAAAAACCAATGTAGTCAGTATTTGGAAAGGTTTTTTTATCTGTTTGTTTTGTTTTGACTTGGATCCTGCTTTTCAGGAGTAAAATGAGAGCTTTAATCCCTAGGAAAAAAAATTCCCAAATACATCATAGAATCTGGGATAATCCTTCATGAAGTCAGGAGCAAAAAAAGAAAAAAAGGGGAAAATAACTTCCTCTACCATTAAAAATAAGCATAACAGCAACCCCGATCTCCATTCTTTCATTTCCTCAGGTCTGACATTCTGCAGATGACCGCCCTTATTTGTCCCTACATGTTTTCCAAAATATAAAAGTGAAATAGAGTCCCAAGGGCACTGTACTTGAAAGGTTATGAGAGTTAGAGAATTTTAACCATCCCTGCCAAATCAGCAGATGGCTTGTGATTATAATTATATGCATCAATAAAACGAATAATCTTTACAAAATTTGAATTTCTACTAAAGTAAGGGATTTAGTAAGCAGATGCAACAGAATGCATTTTCTTTAACCCTTTTGGTAGACACTGGTATCTTTCACACACAAAAAAGATCAAGGGCTGTGCACATAATAGGTTGTATCCTCTAATTTTTGCCCCCTTTCTAAAGTAGTCATATTGTCAGCCTCAATCTTTCTTTGATTTCATTTTCTTCATGGGCACATTTCCTTCTCACCCCCTTTCCACCATCCAGAATAGAAATGTTTCGACTAATTCCTACCATTGTCTGATATTTGAAAGAGGAAAATTTAAAAGGGGTAAATGCCTTCATTCAAATTCATACCAAATATACTATAGAAACAAAAGAGCAAACAGTGGATGTATCTTTCGAGCTGATGGCATTCTTTACAAGTTAGGTTTTTGATAACACAATTTTTCATTTTTTGTTTTCTGATTCTCTTCGATCAACATTCCAGGAATGAAAACACTGCTTATTCTATTTAAATAATTAACTATTTCATTTCTATCTTGCTCTGCATAACATTGTAAGTATCGATAACTAAGTTTTGTCTCATGCCAAGCATGAATTCACTCACATGGAAACTGGGTATGTTCGTGATACATTTGGAAAAAAAGATAAGGCAAGGTTTACACACTGGCCTCTAACCATATTCCTCCTTCATGGGGAAAACCTCAAAATTTAGGAAATAAAATTAAACTTTTAAATTTTGGAAAAAGTGGAAAAATGTATCACGGAAATCTACATACTTATTTTTAATGAAATTATACTGTAACAGTTTTCCATGGAATATTACCAAGTGTAACTCTTCGATAATATGTCAGTTAAAATACATTTAACTATGACAGACCAGCATATATAATATCTAGGAGTTTTTGGAGAATATGTATATTGTGCAGTTAGCTCTGGCATATTTAAACTATATAAATCAAATAAATCAAAATGTTCTGATCTACAAAGCTATTATATGTTGTAGATAACACTATTCAGTAGTATAAATAAGTTACTAATAAGACTTTGAAGGCATTGACAATTTTGTGGGTCAACCCAATTTACTTGGGGATATACAAGATTTGGGAGATCAGAAATTCTTCTTAGCTACAAAATTCTCTCAAAGTTGCCACTTATATGTTAAAGGTTGAATCCTGTCAGAAGAGATATTCCTATAATCACAGTCTGAAGAATTTAACTGAAAAAGTAATAATTCTTGCCCAGAAGCTTATATATTTGATGCAAAACCTGACACGACAATATGAAAATACTTATAAAGAAATTCAACAGTGTCTTAGAGCTCACTGAAATGGAATTTTAAGACATTCGACAATAAACTATCTTCAAGTTTCTTTATTAGGTGTTAAAATATCTTTCAATTGTAATGTCTTGGAAGAGGAAATTTTTTTAAAAACCAAATCCAAAGTATCAACTAAAAAACAAATCTAAGCCCAGACCTTATGAAATAAATTCTAAAGGGGCAAAAGATAAAGATACGTGTTTTAAAAATAAAAAAGAAATGAGCAGTAAACCTAATAATCTTATTACCCAAAGACCTTTACTATAATTAACTACTTAAATTATAGATATTCCATTTGAAATTAGATAAAATCAAGTATTTCTGCTTACAGAAAGTTAAAGTTGAAATGTCATGAAATTCTAATGTATACTTTTGATTGACATTAATAAAAGTATGCACAACAAGCCAATTTAATCATATATACTTAATGTACACTTAGTATGTTTAACTTGTTACCTTAGACTGGATATGGGCACTCAGCCATGTAAAATGGAATTTTCACAATCCTTCAAGGAATCTCACAACATTTAAGGCTCTGGAAGGGAAAACATGAGAGAGTTCTGTACTGATGGAAGTGGATGCATAGGGAGTATATAACATGATACTGGCGTCTCCAATGATTGTCTCAAACTCCACGTGAAAGTTAAAAAAACAAACACTTTTTGAACACCTACCCTATACCAAGGACTTTAGGTACATTATCATACCTAATTTTCACATGAATCACAAGGCAAGATTTATCTACCCTGGTCCCCATCTAACAGACCAGGAAACGAAGGCCCAGAAAAAGTTAAATAACTTATTCAAAGCCACAGATTTAGTAAATGGTAGAACCAGGTCTCAAACACATGAACTTGAGAAGGGGATATCGCAGACTCTCTTGTCACTTTGTGTTGCTCATGTGGCACCTATAGTGACTTCTTCTCTAGGAAATGCTGTGTAGTTCTTCTTAGATCGTACATCCTTAGGTGTGAAAATGAGGTTCCTATATTACCCATAGCACCGAGTACAATCCTTTGCACCACGTAGTGTTAGTAATACTTATTTGTCAAATAAGTGGATCTAAATAAAAGTTCCTTCTGCCAACAAAAATTAAAGTTCCTTACATTTCCTTAATGAAAAAAAGTTATAAAGTAGATAAGTCCATTTTATTAGTCTATTTCCATAGTAAAAATTTTTGAAAATCTCTCAAATTCAAGAACAATATTTTCAGAAACAAGTTCAAATCAGCCAAAAGTAATGATCTGTGCCCTCTCTCATCTTAATCATAAAACAGCTCTATTTGTGTTCCATTCTTCATGGTAACTACATTTCTGTGAACTAATTCCACTCAGATTTGTCCACAGTGAGGCATCTCCACGGACTTAAGTTTGCCTACCCTTTGTTGTCCTGGTGAGGACAGGGCAAAATATTTACAGCCATCCAGAAGGACTGTGTGTTTTCAGAACAAGTCGCTTCTGTATTAATATGATGAATATTAGCAAGTACAGAAAAATAAATCGTAATACAGGAGATCCAAATTCAAAATCTTCACAACAGAAAAATTCCCTAGTATGTCTCTAATACCTGGAAGAGTAAATTAGCTGCATACCTCGACTTTAAACTAAAATTTGTAGGTTACAATTGTAGCCATTGTCAGACAGCTTGCTTTTCCCACGATTTCTACCACATTGATGAGATTCCACGTGAGAAAAATTTTAATTTAGTAAAATCCTAGTGTATCTCCCCTCCATATATTTTACTTGACATTACTGAGACACTGTCATATCTCTTCACAAAATTTATTTCCTTCTCAATTCTGGTTACTATAAAAATAATAGAGTTTGTAATACATAATATATGTTATATACTATAGACACAGTCTTAAATGAATTCCATAAATACAATGAATGTTGGGAACACATTTAGAAGAAGTAAAGTACCTTGAGACCAAAAAATAAATAAATAAAAGGAAGAAGTATGTGACCTTTGGTCAACCATATTATAAACCTCTATATGAATCTCTCATGAATACTACTAATAAGTGATTTATTCTGTATCATAAAATTTCTATATTCTTATATAAATAAAAATGTTTCAGGGCAAGGATTTCCAGTTACCAAACTGATTTCTACATAATATGGAGAGTTTTAATTTGTGAACAGATGATTATGACATGCCATTCTAATATTAAGTGACAATGGTTTTAAAAATGCAATCCTGACACAGATATCATGAATCCATCTATGTTAAAATGCCACACTTATGTTTACAATACTTTTTAAAATGTTTTCAATGAGACTGTCAGAATTTATTAAGCCACTGACAATCCGCTAAGCTGACAGTTCTAGGAATAAAATATTTAATTTACCTGAATGTCTTGTAACAACATCATCCTCTCTTGAACTAAACATCCTCTGAGTACACAAGTATAAGGCAGACAGACATTTCAGCAAGGCAAACAAGACTTTCTGGCAACTTCCTGTTGCCATATTTCTCTAAAAGGATCCTGCAATGTTATACTTCAATACTGCAAATGCATTTTTCCAAGGGACACAGTAAGCCAATGTTGCTCAGTGTCAGATAGCTTTGATTTTTTTACGCAAGTACAGCAAGCAAATAACCACTAATCCTATTCAATATTACAGATTTGCAGCAATGATTTTATTTGCAGATCCAAGAGAAATGGAATATATGAAGAACCGAGAAGCTTTTATTTTCTTGTTTTGTTGCATTTGATTGATTGATTTTTAAGATACTGATCAAGGAAATGGTTATCCCACACATGAAATTAAATATACCTTACCAGATGGGACAATTTTATGTTGATGAGAATGAACCTCACTGCACGCATTCCCACCCAAGGTTTCCATAATCTTTTAAAAGCAGCAGCACTAACTGAAATCAAAGTTGCCCAATGCCTCTGAAAGTTTTTCAGACCTGCACACACACCTGAATGGTCATCATTTGTTGAAAGCACCATCTCTCCCGCAAACAGCCTACCTTCTCAAATTCAAGTTCACTTGCATTTTGGGATACACTTTACTTCTGAAATTCAAAAACTTTTATGAAACGGCAAAACAAAACAACAATGACAACAACGTAAGAGCACTGATCACTGAAGCAGCGTTTCCAGAAGTGATAGCAAAATCCCTTCATTCTGACCTACTTGTCGAGAATCGGACTTTCGGCCCCACGGTTAGGCTCAGATCTGTTCTACTTTCTCCCTAGGGCTTAATTGCCAGACTGACTTACCCGTGCCTCCTAGCCTTTGTTCTGCCTCTCACGCTGACATCAGGGAAGCAGTGATGTAGAATAAAGCAGGGGTGGGCTACGTTAGTCCAGTGTTTGTGTCGTTGTGTGGTGTGCAGGGACACTCTCTGATACTCTAGTGAGCTGCTAAGCTTTTTTTGTAGGCTTTGTGTCATTTACTTAACGACCAATCTCATTAGCTGCCAGGGTACAATGGGCTGATGCATTTTCTATGTACATACTCTACACAGTGACCCTCAAGGTTGCCGAAGGTCTATTTAATCAGTCAAATGCTGAATATATTTGCAGTAAATCACTAAAAAAAAAAAGAAAAAAAATGTATGGAACTACAGAGGTATCTTACAGTCTTACTATTTACTGGTGGTTATTTGCAGGTGATAAAATGCATGCATATTTAGCCAAAACAAGGGTAGGAACAGGCAGAGATGAATTATCTAGCTTGCACTGGCGACCTTAATTTTAGGAAACTTTCAGAATCGAAGATATCTTCTGTGTGCAAGAAAACCCGATTTAGAATGTAATCTCTGTCTTGGTGTAATCATATTAGCAAAACAAAAAAGAACTGCTCTCCTTAGCCGCTCCTCCTCACTCCAAAGTCACCCCCACCTCAGTCCCACCCCCTGCCCCAGCCAAGTTGCATCTATGCCCTCTTTCAGTTACAAGGTAAAAACCCTTTTAACTCCTATGAAAAATGAAATACTGAGAGCACTATGAATGACGACAGCTGTCCATAAGTATCAGGGAGCGTTCTATTGTCCAGCTTGTCCCTGGATAAAATGAATACTTTACAGCAGAGGCTGTTCAGCTTGGCTAAAGAGTATGGGGAGAAGGGGAGGAGGTCACTGGAGATTTCGTACACTAATTTAATCTGGGAAAAGGACAGCCTCTGCATCTCCCTTGAACAGACTGGCAGCAATCTGGGCCCCCACAGAACTATCTCCTTTTGCCTGTGCTCTATTTATTCCTTATCTCTGTTTACCAACCGCTAGGTCCCTTTCATTCACACCACGAGGCCGTTTTCCTACTATCAGTCAGCAGCTGACACTGTGGAAGAGCCTCAAAGGCAAAAAAAAAAAAAAAAAAAAAAAAAAAAAAAAAAAAAAAAAAAAAAAAAAAAAAAAAAAAAAAAAAAAAAAAAAAAGATCAAAACTAAACCAAAGCTGTATAAACAATGCAACAGTACAAGTAAATGCATAAACCCTGATTCTTAACCCAACCCACAGGGTGCAAACAGAATCTTTATAGTAAATCCAACAAACCCACCACAGTGAGCTGTGGGCCACAGAGAAAGAAAAGTCAAAAACCATTCATGAAATCACCATCCAAAAAGAAGGGTGAAAATGTATGCTGGCTTCTGCAGCAGCCTACCTTCCAGGGATGTTCTTATCTCTATCATGGATCAATTAACTGGCTACCAGGAAGCATTTACCTTGCCAGAAAGGTGAGCTATATATTTCTAAGGGAAACCTTACTCTCATTAAAATGCTGGCAGACAAAAAAAATAAAATAAAATAAAAATAAAAAATAAAACAATAAGTTAAAGAGGATTCAACATTAACTTTTCCCGTACCTCATCATGTTGATTTCATTGCAACAATTCAAGAAACTGGGCACTGAAACTCTATTCATTTTACATAAAGATACTAAAACGTCCTGGGCAAGACAGCCAACTAAATCTTTTTCTCCACGTCTTATGTCAAAGTGCCTAACAACAGAGGAGTTGAGAAAAGCCTACTTCATGTAAAACTTGGTATCTTTTGACGTCCTCTGCAGGATGTGAGTGAAAACAGAGACAGAGAGAACTATTTTGCAGTATAGAAAGAGAAGAAAGCAAAACAAGTGTTATTTTGAATCTTGCAACTTTTGAGTAACTATGAATTTTGAAGTTAAAATATGCTTTAGTTATACTCATCTTGAGTACCCCAGATTTTTTAATATCTCAACAAATGGGAGAATGCCATCTACATAAGTAGTTTACTGAAGTGATTAAAAATGTATATGATTTAGAGTATATATGTGCGTATATTATAAGCATAGATACACATACTTCTACCAATATATACATCACACGAAATCAGAAGTGGATAATTTCTATTGCCTACAACTCCCTACCTTAAAAACTGTCACTGACTTTAAATTTCCCTGAGTTTCTTTCTATCACTGAAATGATTGGTTATTGTCATAAAAATCAATGCCGTATTGACTCAATCACTAAGACCTTTACCAAAAAAGGGAAGACAAAATGTAGCTCATTATCTAGGATGATCAATTGGACCAGATTTC